CTAAAGAGGCAGGACTCTAGGGAGGCTGCGTTGGTCAAGTGTTTATTAACTCAGCATAAGTATGAGTCTATTTGTAGAAAATGAATTGGAATGTCCAGAAGGAAGTAAGCAAAGAAGTGAAGGCAACGGAAGTTAGGTTATTCCGACAGTTCAGCTCACTTAGAGCTGGTACCTCGTTCAGGCACTGACGAGATCAAGCAAAGGATGAAGATGACAGTGCGCTCACACTGAATTCAGAGGTATGCTACTAATTTTGAAAGATATACAACTCTTTAGCATCTGGGCCCTGATGATTAATAAATCAGCTGCCAGAAACTCCCCGATGAAGCTAATTAAACAGTGTAAAGACAGTGGACCAATTTAAGCAGTTTGCTAACAGTGTTATAGGAATGTTAAATAAATAATAATAGTAATAAGGGCATAATTAATGACACATAAGCCAAGGAGCTAAGGGATTCGAGTCTTAGTCTTGGCCAATTTCCTTTGTGAGCTTCACTGAACAATTTATGCTACTAATTAGTATGAATAAATAGCATTATGGAGTGGAGGTTAGTATTATGAGCCCTAACAACTGAAGAATTAAGCTGAAGTTGGTTGCTAAATGAGACTGACAATGAGCAAATAACTCCATTTTTGCTGTATACTTCATCCATAATATTTCATATTTGTACAAAAAGCCACTCACTCTTTATCACAGTTGTATAAAATATATTAAACAAAACTGTTTGCTTTTTAAAAATACAAAGTTAAATCTAAATCACTATGACACTATCTAAATTTTGTATTAATTTTGTATAGAAAATGTGATTTCTATAAATGATACTTGATGCCTCCTCCTCACTAGTTACAATGGCAATAAACTGACTCCTTTATTGTTATGGGGTTTTCATTTTTCAAAGCACTTTCACAAATATTAATTGAAGCAGCCTTACTTATAATCCGACCACTCCTTGCACACAATATTAAATATTAGTTAATATAACAGAAAATTCTATTACCTTGCTACTGCTCATAACATATTTCTTCTGTCTATATGGAATTACTTCTTTCAAAGCACTTTCAAACATTTCAACTGCAGCAGTGGCATTAGGAATGATCTTTTCATTTTTTGTATCATCCCATGGAAACAATCCCAAAAAGAAGAGATGATTTAACAATAATAGAGATGATTTTGAGGCAATTGATCCATAATTTCTTTTTAGAGGGGAGGATTGGGTTTTTGAGACAGGGTTTCACGCAGTCCAGGTTGCTCCTGAATTTACTAGGTAGTCACGGATATCTTTAAACTTCTGATTCTCCTGTCTCCATTTCTCAAGTGCTGTGATCACAGGCATGTACCAACATGTCCAGTCACAACCCATGACTTTTGAATTTGGATTCAGATCTCCCAGAAGTCTTGGAATCAGAGCAACTCTTCAAGCCAGTAAGTTGATGTTTCCTTTCTTCCAGGATAGCAGTAGAGCAGAGTGAATAAAATCTAAGTATGAACTGAGCTGGGGATATAGCTCAGTTAGAAGTGTGCTTGCTTAGCATGCAAGAGACATAGGTCCCATCCCAGCACCTCATGAATTGGGCATGGTTTCTCGAAAACAACAACGAAGAAATATAAGTATGTGGGCCAGGCACACGCCTTTAACTCCAGAATTCAGGAGGCAGAGGCAGGTGAATCTCTGTGAGTTCAATGTCAGCTTTGTCTAGATAGCAAGTTCCCAGGACAGTCAAGGCTACATAATAGAGAGACTCTGTCTCAAGAAACCAAAAACAAACACACAAACAAAAAACAAACAAAAACCCCTCCTCTATAATGAGCATAGGCCTAAAGTATAATAAACGTTCACTAGAATAATCACTGTGAAAATCACTAAAGAAAGAATATTCTACTCAAACTTTCACAGACTATCTATTCAAGAGTTAAAAGACTGTGTCTCAATAAAAATATTATATCATATTAACATAACAAAAACGGTTTTATCCTTATTGTCTCTTTAAACATTAGAACTTGGGCTGTGTAATCAGAAGGCTTGCTTCTAGGGAAAACGCTCTAGTTCTAAGAGCAGTTTATACCCATGTTTAGTTACTATGCAACTTTGAGCTATAGGCAGGCATGCTGGGAAAAGTGGGATAGGTTGCTTCCCCAAGCATAATCTGCCTCCATGAGTGTGGTCATTTTGGGAGGAAATTATTTTAAGGCGTGTTGCTTTTGTTTATGCTGCATTTGTTTAACTCTGTGAAGCTGTGATTCTTTGCCTGTCTAAAACACGTGATGGTCTAATAAAGAGCTGAACAGTCAGTTGTAGGTTTAATAATTTCTTCTTTCCTTTGACTTAGAAAGAGTCTGTATTTACTTTAAGGAGACCAAAATGATCAGAGAATTATTGTGCTTCCATTTTTATCTTCTGTGCTCGTGGAGCAGGAGCGAGGGCAGGCTGGGCTGGCAGGCAGAGGAGAGGAAGACATCAGGGGCCAGCCACCCAGCCACCCAGTCAGTCACAGAGAAAGAAGTAGAAACGGGTATACAGAACTAGAAAAAGATAAAAGCCCAGAGGCAAAAAGTAGTCAGGATAATTTAAGAAAAGCTGGCAAGAAACAAACCAAGTTAAGGTCAGGCATTCATAATTAAGAATAAACCTCTGTGTGTGATTTATTTGGGAGCTGGGTGGTGGAGCCCCCAAGAAACCAAAAGAATAAAACATCACCCAACAGTTAGTTGTTCCCAAAGCGTATGCACCGTAGGTACTAAGAAACTCAAATACCAATAATGTTGTTATGAAGGAGAAGAAAGGCAAGATTAGATGCTTAATAACAAACTAGTAAATAACTGCTAAAAACCACAAAAAGATCTAGATATTTTCCTCATAAAGTTGCAGATAAGTTCCTACAAAAACTTTAAATAAAAACTCATTTTCATTTAATTTGCAATGTAAATAATAACATTATGACAATCAATGTCGCTCCACCCCCCGTTCAAATTATCAAAATATAATAGGCAGAATAAAATATATGTGTCTAGTTATAAATACCTGCAGAGTACACATAGAGTATTAAAAGTAAAATTCTTTTGTTAAGATTTGTTCATTTTTAATTTTTAAATTTAAATTAAATTTAAAAATTTTTAATTTTAATGAGTATTTTGTTTGCATATATGTATATGCATCACAATCATGCCTGGTGTTCACAGAGGCAGAAGAGGGAGTCAGATCCCTAGAATGGAAGTTATAAGCGTTGTGAGCTGTATTGTGGGTGCTAGGAACTGAACCTCAGTCCTCTGTAAGAGCAGTCAGTACTCTTAACTGATGAGCCATCTTTTCAGTCTCAAAAAGTAAAATTCTTAAACCATACCTTAATTCTAATAAAAAATTATAATAAAACTGATAAAATGTTCTATGTTATTACAGACAAAAAACAAACAGCAAGAGATGGTGATACTCCTCAGTGGTAAGGCATTTGCCTTACCAAAGAATATGTAAAATCCTGGGTTCCATCCTAAACACCACAAAAAGTAATAGCAATTGCTTGAGGAACTAGGGCTATAGCTCAGAGGTAGGTAAGGCATCTGCTTAACATGTGTGAGGTCCTGGGTTCCATCCCATATGAAACCTAAACTTGGTAAAACTTGGTAAAATTTATATTTTAACAATTAAGCAGGAGAACACGGTCACTGGCTAATTATTTCAAAACCAAACGAGCACAGAAGATAAAAATGGAAGCACAATAATTCTCTGATCATTTTGGTTTCCTTAAAGTAAATACAGACTCTTTCTAAGTCAAAGGAAAGAAGAAATTATTAAACCTACAATCTTCAAAAGTTCCTAAACTGGGACTGGCAAGATTGCTCTTGCCACCAAGCCTGACAATCTGAGTTCAGAACCCACATAGTGAAAGGAACAACTCCAACAAGCTATTCTCTAGTCTACACACACACACACACACACACACACACACACACACACACACACGAGTGCACACATACACAATAAATAATGTTTTAAAAAGATTATGTTTCTCCTTAAAGCCCAGCACTTGGAAGGCAGAAGCAGGTGAATCTCTGTGAGTTCAAGGCTAGCCTGGTCTACAAAGCAAGTTCCAGGACAAACAGGGCTACACAGAGAAACCATGTCTTGAAAAAAACAAAATAAATAAATAAACAGATTTTAAGTTCCTAAACCATACTAATGTTAACATATATTTTTGACATGCAAATATAGAGAACAATATTACTATATTACTACAAGGGAAACCCATTTATGAAAATCTTTCTGAATTATATAGGAACAAATCCTCTTTTATATCTGGGAAACTTCTGCCTGAGTTGTACAGAGAATAGTCAGAAAAGCTAGAATTGCCTGGATGCCATGTTCATCCCTGCATCTATTTAGCTTTATTGTTCCAGTGGAATTGCCAGATAAAATGTATGATACAGCGTTACATGAGACACACTTATACTGAAAAATGAGGGTCTGTGTCTGGAGAGGTGGCTCAGGGTTAAGAACACATACTTTTCTTCCAGAGGGCCTGAGTTCAGTTCTTGGCACCCCTGTTGGGTAGCTCACAACCACCAGAATCAGGAGATCTGACTTCCTCTGTGAACCCTGCAGGCACCCACACACGTGTGGTATACACACGGAAACATACACATAATTGAAAAATAAAATACATCTCTTTTTTTTGCTTTTTTTGTTATTTTTTTGAGTCAGGGTTTCTTTGTGTAGCTTTGGAGCCTGTCCTGGAATTCTGTAGACCAGGTTGGTCTCAAGCTCACAGAGATCCACCTGCCTCTGCCTCCCAAGTGTTTGGATTAAAGGCGTGTGCCATCACTGTCTGACTAAAATACATCCTTAAAAACATCTAGTGTTTATCTCAAAGTCTAATTTGAGTGGGTATCCTATATTTCTATTTATTAAACCAAGAAATTATATCTTTCAGAATAAATGTACTTTAGAAAACAACAAACTTATTTACGAAAAGAGATTTAGTCTCCTGGAAGTTAAGTAGTTGTTTACCTTGTAGAATCTTCTTGAAGACCAAGCCACCATAAACACTTCCTGTAGAAGCAACTGTAAGAAAAAAATACAAAAAAAAGTAAAACAATTAGGTATATTTGACTTTAAAAAATCAATGGGACTCTGAAAATACTGCCTTTTGGTATGGAACATTAAAAGGAGCCCTTAGTAATGAGTTCAGTACAAATACAGGGCAAAAATGGTACTAAAAGGCACAATGAATATGTGGGGGTTGATGACAACCAGTGGCAATTCTTTTCACCTAAATTTAGCACCTATAATCAACACCAGGACTGTTCCTTTAGATGCTGCTATACTTGAAAGAACAGGATTATGGAAAACTCTAAACTGCAACTATTGATCAGAGAGCATAGTGCCAGCAACTAACTTTGAGTGTTAAGAGTCAATTAAAATATTGGCCCTTTTGAACCAATTTTACTCTGAAATAGAAGATATTTTGCCAGTCAATTGACTTAAGAATTATTTGTACCTAGATTTCAAAAAGCCGAAGTTCTTGGTCCTCTTTTTAAACTGAATTTAATTAGAACTTTACCGCCTCTTTTCAGCATCCTAGAGGCTGGCCCTCCCTACCGGCGATGCAGGGAGAAGCTGTTCTGAGTGCGCTGAAGTGTGAACCTCTGCAATGAAAAACCAAAGTCGTCTTTCAAAGAGTGGACTTAGTGAATCTAAATACGAAGCACTGAGATAGCTAACACTCCTCTTTCCCTCGCTTCAGAAATGTTAGCAGCTAGGCTTTTACCCATCAAGATAGAGGATCCGACCATTCTAAGAGCAAAGATATAATGATGATACTGATATTAAACAAAATGAGGTTTCCTCAACAAAGACTTGGAAGAAAAACTGGATGTAGCCATGGAGCCGATCTGGGTGCACTACATCCTGTGACCTGGGATGGCAGGTGAGTCCCTGTGAAAGGAACCAGACTGTGCAGTCCTAGGTATCTGTCGCTGGGAGAGGCTTTACAAAATGGAAAGTGGGGAAAGACGCTGAACCCAACAGCCGGAGCTGCACCCCCCGCCCCCGCCCCGTCTCAGGACATGCTGAGAAGGACCCAAAGGAAAAGACATGACTGTCAACGTGTAACACTGAAGTCGACTTTCTCCAGTGCTTTAGAGCTGATTATGGACCCCGACAAGGACAGCCCCCTCCTGGGCCAGGCCCTCTCGCAGCACTTCTGTTGCCAGGGAGACATTCACACTGAATGGTATTCACAGAAATTAGCCGAAGGATACCAGGTGTGGTAGTGCACATGCATTATGTCAGCCCTGGGGAGGCTGAGGCAGGAAAATTATCATAAGTCTGAGACCAGTCTGAGCTACACAGTAAGACATATCTAAAAAAAGTGAGCGCTGGGTCTCAGTTAAAAGAGTGCTTGCACAGACAAGGATTGAGCCCATAAACTGGATAGATGGTGGCACCATCTGTCACCCCAAGACACAGGAGTCTGAGGAAGGAGGATCAGGAGTTCAAAGTTGGCCTTGAATTTGAGGCCAGAGTGGGCCACAGGAAACCAAGAGCCAAAAAGAATAAAAAAAGAAAGTCAGGCAGTGGTGGTGCACGCCTTTAATCCCAGCATTCGGGAGGCAGAGGCAGGCGGATCTCTGTGAGTTCGAGGCCAGCCAAGGTTATAGAGGAAAACAAAAGAAAAGAGCATCGAACTGTGCTGTTTCTGCCTCCTTAAGCGACGGCAAAGGCAGGCTGGCCTCCAGTGAGTGACAGCAGCACTTGGTGCCTCCAGAGAAACGTAAACGTTTGTCCTGCTAAAGTCATTGCCTGTGTTTGTTATTAAACTTCATAATTTTTTCTAAATGGCAAAAAAAAGAAAAACTGAAGGAAATTACCTCAAAAACATGAAAATCAGAGAGAACATTTTAGAAAAAAAGTTTCATAAATCCACTATCTAAATAATGGAAACTGCTGTAGAATAACCACCAACAAAATTTTCCACATCTGGGGGCTCAGTGGTTAAGAACACTGGTTGCTCTTCCAGAGGACCTGGGTTCAATTCCCAGCACCCACATGGCAACTCAAAACTGTATGCAACTCCAACTCCAAGGTACCCAACACTCTCACATAGATACGCATATAGGCAAAACACTAATGCACATAAAATTAAAATAGATAAAACATTTAATAAAGGCGATGGTGGCACACGCCTTTAATCCCAGCGATTGGGAGACAGAGGCAAGCAGAGCTCTGGTGTGGGAAGACACTATATATATATATATATATATATATATAT